GCCAATAAACAAAGCTGATCATGTGCTTTGTCAGGAATTACATAAAACGACTACTAAAAAATGACACCATGGATTGGCATTTCAGGGGCAGATACATTGACATTTATATATTCTGCAGATATTATTATCGCTAAATCTGTCATCGATTTTATCATTAGAACAAACCTAGTTCGACCTACGACCGATTATTCCACGCTGAGGAAGGCTTCCATAGTAAGATACACCGGGACGACCGTCAGCACACCATGAACCTAAATGTGTATTCGGAGGTAAGGCGCATCTACCAATATTACAAGAGAGATACAGGGAAAGTATGACGTCTCAGGGACACATGGCATCTATATCTCAGATATGCCAACTTTTATGTCAAGATTTTAAGGTCTTTTTTAGAAAGGGAATCTACATTGTTTGCAACAAAAAGAGAAACAGGAACCAGTCTTGCCCACCATTACCCATCCCAAACACCCCCTCCTTCAAACCAAACCTGGATCCGCTATCTATAAAATTTGGAAGAAACATATACATAAATATATATTATTTTTTTGGAAATTCAAGGTTACGGCGGGATAAAGGAAAACTTTTTTTTTTATAAAATTTCGGTGGGTGCGTTAATAGGACAAAAATATAACGTTATTTTTATTCGAAATCACCATTATTGGCGCGCGGCGGGTTCGCTAAGCAAGGTATAAAAACAGTCTCGCCTACAACATAACAAGATCAATATTAAATATAGTTATCAACTTCCAAAATAGGAACATTCTTGGAACTGATTATCGGCCAGTTTAAAGGGTTTTTTTATTTTTTTTTTTTTTTTTTTTTTTTTTTTTTTTGCAAATAATATTGGAACGGTATTATTATGTGTCTATAAGGTTGATTGGTGTCTCCCACTGAAAATATCTTACATTTAAATATCCTTTTGAATTCCTAAAGCCGGGTACTCACTGCGCGCGACGGCGACGCGACGACGAACGCACGCGACGGCGGGGAACCAACGGATCGCTTATGAGGATCCGTTCAGACTGCCACTGACAATCAGCAGACGGCGTTACGTCGTCTATCGCTAGCCGGAAGCAGAGGTGGATTCGTCGTGCAACGGTCGTAAGACGCAATGAGTGCCCGGCTTAAAGTTTTTAGCAGAAAATTATCAACAAAATTGAAAATTCATATAAACGCTAATTAGCTTCGTATACAATAATTTTTATATTATTTTTCTCATTTGAAGGAATCTTCAAAACAGATACCCGTACTGTCATCGTCAGCGTACGGACACGGAAAACCACTCGAAGTACCTTCCCGTCAACACGCGCGCATCGAGCGCGTAGTTAAAGGTTTTTATCGCACACGAGGTACAAATCTACCGGAATATGGCTCAGACCAGTGACGAGGATCGCTTATTATTTCAATAAAGAGGATAATCTAGTGACGAATGTAATACGTACTTTTGAGATTTGTTATATTATTTATATTTTTATTGATCTGTTATCAAAAAAATAAATATTATTGCATATACAGTATGTAAATTAGGCCTAAGTATTTATTTATTATCGCACACGAGGTAAAAAATCTACCGGAATAAGGCTCCCAGTGACGAGCATCGCTTATCATTTCAATAAAGAGGATAACCTATTGACGAATGTAATACGTATTTTTGAGTTTTGTTATATTATATTCAAGCTAATAATCTTTATGATCCTTTCAAATGAGCTACTCAACATTTTATTTGAATTTTTGAGGTATTTTCCTGTATTTGAATTTGACTGATAGTACATTAAAGTACATTCTTAGTATTTCAATTGAAAACTTTTAACTAAGCATAAATAATATTGTTATTGTAATGAATGTCTAATTGTAACACAGTGTTTTAATTGAATGTAGTTTCTCCTATTCAGATTTACCTGAGAGAGTAAATGTCTATAAAATGACTTAAAATGGATTTAGGCATTATCCGCGGTAGAGACAGTCCTCCTTCTCTGCTCCGAAATGTGTTCTTCAGTGTATAATACACATTATGTTCATTTAAAGTATGGCGAATATAAATGAAGGGCTGATGGAGGCAGGGAGGTCTGATTGTGTGGCTCGATGACTAAGTGAGTTGGTGTTAGCTAGCTGGCAAAAATATGGTATTATGAGGTAAATTGAGCGTCATTTTTTTTTTTGTTTAAAAAATTTCCAGTTGGTGCGTCTGCGTGGTGCCAGCTTAGTGGGGGGGGGGGGGGGGGGGGGGGGGGTGGTGCCCTACAATCCCCCTCCTCACCCTAGTAGATAGGGCCTACCCCATTGGTAATAGGCTAGGCAATTTATTAAGGTAATTAGTCACTTGGCAGTATAACCGAAAATACTGTGAGAACTGCCATCCTAAGCCACCATCACTAAAACATGGTTCTGACACGGGTAGGCTCGTTGTAAATTTATTTGAAACCTGCCCATCACAAAGGCGGGCGCGAGTGTAAGAGAGCACCCGGGTGGCCGAGTGGTTGAGGCGTTGGATTTAAGTTCCAATGGACGTATGTCCGCATGGGTTCGAACCCCATCCCTGGTATAATTCTTTTACCTTAATTTTATGTTTAGTTTGACATGCGTAACTATATGCTAATTTTAGACAAGAAATATATAGGGCCTACAGTTCATGTTTGCAGATTTTCTTTCAGTGTATAATACACATTCATGCTCATTTAAAGTATGGAGTATATAAATGAAGGGCTGATGGGGGCAGGGAGATCTGATTGTGTGGGGCTCGATGACTAAGTGAGTTGGTGTTAGCTATCTGGCAAAAATATGGTATTATGAGGTAAATTGAGCGTCATTTTTTTTTTTTTTTTTTAAATTTCCAGTTGGTGCGTCTGCGTGGTGCCAGCTTAGTGGGGTGTGTGGGGGGGGGGGGGTGGTGCCCTACAATCCCCCTCCTCACCCTGTCTCTTATACACATCTAGATGTGTATAAGAGACAGGTATAATTCTTTTACCTTAATTTTATGTTTAGTTTGACATGCGTAACTATATGCTAATTTTAGACAAGAAATATATAGGGCCTACAGTTCACCTTCCAATTCGAGACCACTTTGGGACCCGAAAATCATTGGGGTGGTCTCGGGGTTATTCTCCAATTAGAGGGCTATCTTTGTGTTTAAAAGTTTGAAGATTGTTATTGGTTCTTTGGAAAAGTGGTCACACCTGAGGAAGTGAAACTAAGATGGATAGAAATTGTGCGGGTGAGTCGTTTTTCCTACTCGATCGTATCTATGGTTAAGTTGATATTGAAAGTACGCAAATCTGGGTTACTAAATACTAAGTCTTATGTTGATATTTTCAGCGCGAGAAAAACATACGGAAGAATCATTTAGCAACAAAAGGCGATGGATCTGAACAATGGCCTGGTATCGAATCAGCGACAGAGGAACAGTTGAAAGAGAAAAATACATATTTCAACAACAACAAACAGGTAAATATCAGTTAAAAACGTACCGGTAGCTAACAACAAACTGGAAAATATAAATGAACACGTAGAGTAACAACAAGCAACAGCCAATTTTGAGTAGACCTAGTATAATTGATTTTGGTAAATTACTGGTTACTTGTATATACTTACTACTTACGTCTTACTATTCACTAAGGTACCTAAACATATTTCTTAGTTTTACTTAATTATTGAGAGGTGTGAGCCAATAAACAAAGCTGATCATGTGCTTTGTCAGGAATTACATAAAACGACTACTAAAAAATGACACATTGGATTGGCATTTCAGGGGCAGATACATTGACATTTATATATTCTGCAGATATAATTATCGCTAAATCTGTCATCGATTTTATCATTAGAACAAACCTAGTTCGACCTACGACCGATTATTCCACGTTGAGGAAGGCTTCCATAGTAAGATACACCGGGACGACCGTCAGCACACCATGAACCTAAATGTGTATTCCGAGGTAAGGCGCATCTACCAATATTACAAGAGAGATACAGGGAAAGTATGACGTCTCAGGGACACATGGCATCTATATCTCAGATATGCCAACTTTTATGTCAAGATTTTAAGGTCTCTTTTAGTAAGGGAATCTACATTGTTTGCAACAAAAAGAGAAACAGGAACCAGTCTTGCCCACCATTACCCATCCCAAACACCCCCTCCTTCAAACCAAACCTGGATCTGCTATCTATAAAATTTGGAAGAAACATATACATAAATATATATTATTTTTTTTGGAAATTCAAGGTTACGGCGGGATAAAGGAAAACTTTTTTTTTTTCTAAAATTTCGGTGGGTGCGTTAATAGGACAAAAATATAACGTTATTTTTATTCGAAATCACCATTACTGGCGCGCAGCGGGTTCGCTAAGCAAGGTATAAAAACAGTCTCGCCTACAACATAACAAGATCAATATTAAATATAGTTATCAACTTCCAAAATAGGAACATTCTTGGAACTGATTATCGGCCAGTTTAAAGGTTTTTTTTTTTTTTTTTTTTTTTTTTTTTTTTTGCGCAAATAATATTGGAACGGTATTATTATGTGTCTATAAGGTTGATTGGTGTCTCCCACTGAAAATATCTTACATTTAAATATCCTTTTGAAGCCGGGTACTCACTGCGCGCGACGGCGACGCGACGACGAACGCACGCGACGGCGGGGAACCAACGGATCGCTTATGAGGATCCGTTCAGACTGCCACTGACAATCAGCAGACGGCTTTACGTCGTCTATTGCTAGCCGGAAGCAGAGGTGGATTTGCCGTGCGACGGTCGAACGATGCCGTGAGTGCCCGGCTTAAAGTTTTTAGCAGAAAATTATCTTCAACAAAATTGAAAATTCATATAAACGCTAATTAGCTTCGTATACAATAATTTTTATATTATTTTTTTTTTTTTTTTTTTTTTTGCAAATAATATTGGAACGGTATTATTATGTGTCTATAAGGTTGATTGGTGTCTCCCACTGAAAATATCTTGCATTTAAATATCCTTTTGAAGCCGGGTACTCACTGCGCGTGACGGCGACGCGACGACGAACGCACGCGACGGCGGGGAACCAACGGATCGCTTATGAGGATCCGTTCAGACTGCCACTGACAATCAGCAGACGGCTTTACGTCGTCTATTGCTAGCCGGAAGCAGAGGTGGATTTGCCGTGCGACGGTCGAACGATGCCGTGAGTGCCCGGCTTAAAGTTTTTAGCAGAAAATTATCTTCAACAAAATTGAAAATTCATATAAACGCTAATTAGCTTCGTATACAATAATTTTTATATTATTTTTTTTTCATTTGAAGGAATCTTCAAAACAGATACCCGTACTGTCATCGTCGGCGTACGGACACGGAAAACCACTCGAAGTACCTTCCCGTCAACACGCGCGCATCGAGCGCGTAGTTAAAGGTTTTTATCGCACACGAGGTACAAATCTACCGGAATATGGCTCAGACCAGTGACGAGGATCGCTTATTATTTCAATAAAGAGGATAATCTAGTGACGAATGTAATACGTACTTTTGAGATTTGTTATATTATTTATATTTTTATTGATCTGTTATCAAAAAAATAAATATTATTGCATATACAGTATGTAAATTAGGCCTAAGTATTTATTTATTATCGCACACGAGGTACATATTTACCGAAATATGGCTCAGACAAGTGACGAGCATCGCTTATCATTTCAATAAAGAGGATGACCTATTGACGAATGTAATACGTATTTTTGAGTTTTGTTATATTATATTCAAGCTAATAATCTTTATGATCCTTTCAAATGAGCTACTCAACATTTTATTTGAATTTTTGAGGTATTTTCCTGTATTTGAATTTGACTGATAGTACATTAAAGTACATTCTTAGTATTTCAATTGAAAACTTTTAACTAAGCATAAATAATATTGTTATTGTAATGAATGTCTAATTGTAACACAGTGTTTTAATTGAATGTAGTTTCTCCTATTCAGATTTACCTGAGAGAGTAAATGTCTATAAAATGACTTAAAATGGATTTAGGCATTATCCGCGGTAGAGACAGTCCTCCTTCTCTGCTCCGAAATGTGTTCTTCAGTGTATAATACACATTATGTTCATTTAAAGTATGGCGAATATAAATGAAGGGCTGATGGAGGCAGGGAGGTCTGATTGTGTGGCTCGATGACTAAGTGAGTTGGTGTTAGCTAGCTGGCAAAAATATGGTATTATGAGGTAAATTGAGCGTCATTTTTTTTTTTGTTTAAAAAATTTCCAGTTGGTGCGTCTGCGTGGTGCCAGCTTAGTGGGGTGGGGAGGGGGGGGGGGGGTGGTGTCCTACAATCCTCCTGCTCACCCCAGTAGATAGGGCCTACCCCATTGGTAATAGGCTAGGCAATTTATTAAGGTAATTAGTCACTTGGCAGTATAACCGAAAATA